CCTATCAGCCTCTTGAGCCTCTTTTCGTCTACCTTCAGCTGTGATATTGTGTGTGAGAGTTTTGAGCTTAAGGAGAGGGTTCTTGGTGGCCATTTTAGAGTTCTTTCAAGAAGAGGAAGTGGTTTAGCAAGCTTGGGTCGGTTTGGTGCTTCGAGGATCTGCATCTTGGTCATCTTGCAAAGCTCCTTGAGGTAAAAGCTTGCACCTTTCCATTTAAATCTCTAGATCTAGCTAGGGTTTCCTAGTCTTGTCTCTTTGGTTGTTTTTGGACACCCATTTGTGAGTTAAGCAACTCCAGAAGGTGGGAATGACAGATCTAAGGTCCCTTGGTCCTTTAGCATCATAAAAATGGAGTCTTGATGGGAGTTTTGGCCTCATGCATGGGTTAAAGACCTTGGAAAGGTCTTAATGGAGCTGTAGGGTGTATATGAGGCATGCAAAGGCATAAAGTTGCCAACTTTATGCCTTAGGACATCTTAATAGACCTAGATCTGGCTTTTGGACGTAAAGGAACCGAGTAATAAGCACTTAATGGAGAAAGTGCTTAACCAGGTAGTACGTTGGGCGTAACCCAGTGTACGCTAAGCGCAGTCCCAAGACCCCAGTACGCTGCACGTACGAGGATGGTACACTGAGCGTACGCATCTCACTTGGGCCAAATCTGTTTTGGGCCTTTGAGCTTTTGGGCCTCACTTGGTTATTGGATTTGATTACCTTCTGTGAATTATGGGTCGTTTCATCTGATATGGGCCATGGATATTTTGGTTGGGCCTTATTGGGCCAAGGGGCCCATTAGTGATTTTGGACGTGGATTTTGGGCCCATTAGCAAGGGAAGGATAATTGGGCCTCATAGAAGGATTTGGGGTTGGGTTTCCCTTTGATTAATTTAAGGTCCTAACAGTGATTAATATTATTTGTCCAGCACGGGAGGTCACAGATTGTTAGGAGAGCAGCTTTTGCATTTAGCAGACTGAGGTGAGTCTCCTCACCATACCAATGGGTCTAAGGCACCAAGGCCGACCCATTATGTGATCATGATATATGTGTTAGATATTTTGTGTTTGATATGCTATGTGATAGTGTGTTTTGTATGGAAGAGAATGGGAGAGCCCATGGCACTTGGATGTAAGACCATGAGGAGAGCCCATGGCTTTCCTATCAAAGACCATGGGGAGAGCCCATGGCACTTAGGTGTAAGACCATGTGGGGAGCCCATGGCATCCTGGAGTAAGACCCTGGGGTCGAGCCCACGACATCCTTATCTGTTGTATGCATCGTTTATATGATATGTGTGTAGCTCCAGTGAGCTATCAGGATATGTGTATGTGTAGTGTGTAGTATGCTCTGGGGAACTCACTAAGAATTTCGCTTACAGGTTGTTGATTTGTTTCAGGTACATCTGAGCCCAAGGGCAAGGGCAAGGTGTGATGGCGCGGCGTGCACTCTATCTCTTTTTCATTGATACATTTTGGGGACACTCTGATGTTTTTGAATAATATTGTATCGAACGTGGTTTTGAAAACAATTGTGCTTGGATTTCATTGTTATTCAAATGTGTTTGATTAATTAAAAATGAAAATTTTCTTTGAAAAAAAAAATCAGGTCGTTACAAGTGTGTGACATCCCCTAATTTCTCGTCCAGAAAAAACCGATTTAAATTATGCTTTTTAAAATAAAATCAGAGAAATTCTTTTAAAAGATGTTGCGGAATTGGTCCCCAAAACAAAACATGATAAAAGTTTATCAAAACCTTTCTTTAAGAAATATATAATTTCCTTTTATATCAAAACCTCGGGATGTCATGTTTCGATACAGATCAAAAGCATAAACAAGACATTATAAGCCCTTGCAACAGTTATTTACAACTACTGGCCTATAATCCAAAAATCTCTCATCATCATCCGACTATGCTCGGGGTCCACTACCTGTAATAATATAAAGCTGAGTGGGTCAGGCTTAGGAGCCTGGTGAGCATATAGGGTTTTCAACCCACAATAATAATAACTTATTAAGTTCACCAATCAACAATAACCCTGATTACCCATTCCCTTTATCCTCACTTTATGTCCCTAAACACCTATCACAAGGGACCTAGCCTCAAGAATATCATCGGGATGGACACTACCGCTAAGGGGACTCCTCAGCCATACATGTCCTAAAGGCAACCATGAAGGGGATGGAGTACGCCAATGAACATTTAGTTCACCAACACCTACAAGTTGCGAACCTGCCAGTGTTCCACTGGACTGTCTAGAAAGGTCCGTGGTCGTCATCTATACTCCGCTAGACGACTACAACAACAACAACATCGAGGCCTCTCATCATTTTAACACTCATCGACTATTTCGTCTACCCACGTTCTACCCAACATATTTGTAGATAAAATACATATACAGTTTAAAACTTGTATAAAACATCTATTCAACAGTCACCTCAATTAAACAATTAATATAATTACACATAGCACGTATTTTATAGAAAATACTTCATATCTAGGTGTAAGATGAAAGTGACTACACACTCACTTGATTTAATGATAATCGGGCAGCACTTTGTTCCCTAAAACGATCTTTTCTAATAAAATCGGGAGTTTTATTGAGAAACCGGGCTCTGCGAGGGTCGGGCTTCAAAACCGAAAAGATAAATTTCTCGGGCTTCTCGGGCACTTCGGGACGTGTTTCGGGTGTTTGGTATGATACCGGGGCTTTGGGGTAAGTTGGAATGAAAGAAATATTGAAAGAGGGGTGAAAGTGGCAATTTTTGAAACTATCACCGGGAGGTCTCGCACCCTTCTATTTATAGGGGCGACGCTTCTGATCGGACGGCTGAGAGGCTTCCAGGTGGCAGCAGATCCGAAGAGGAGTCACATGGTTCGCACGTCCGAGGGTCTTGCTGTTGACCTCTGATTGGACCGAAGTCTAGGGTCCGAGGGTTGGAGTCGTAACGCACCTGTGAAGCTCGGACACGTCAGCAGGGCACGCGTCGCTCCGCGATTGGACCAGCGATTCGGATGCGAGGAGTCACCTAGACACGCGTCGGACGAAGGCGAGGCGGCTTCGGACGGCTCTCCGGATTCGAACACGCGTCTGCCAGCTGCTCGGATGACTCAGCAATTTCGGACACGTGGCACGTTATGAGCGAGGGTGACGTGGCCGAAGTCCACCATGCGAAATTTCTCGGATTTGACATTTATTCTCGATTTTTGTGCAAAAACTTCTAAAATCCATAACTTTCGCATACGAGCTCCGTTTTTTACGTTCTTTATATGCACGCGTAGGTAAAATTACGCTCTACAACTTTCGTTTAGACTTCGTCGGCTAATTTTTATTTTAATTTTTATATTATTAATTTTAACAGACTGGGACAGGAAATCCGTTAAAAATTCATAACTTCTTCATCCGACGTCCGTTTTCGTTTGTCTTTTTACCGTTGTACGACTATTGACGAGAGCTTCGATTCTCGTTTAGGTTGTGTCGGCTAAAAATCATACGATCTAAAATTCGAGTTTTTAGCTGTCTACTGCTAAGCTGAAACTTAGAAAAATCATAACTTTCTCATACGAAGTCAGATTTGGGTGTTCTTTTTATACATACTCTCGGTTTAACGAATACTACGACTTTCGTTTAGATCACTAAGGCTAAAAAGTAGTTTATCAAAAACTCACTTTTTACGACATTCGGCACCGTGCCGGTTTTGTCGCGAAACTTCGACAGGTCATAACTTCTTCGTTATAACTCGGATTTCGGTATTCTTTATATATCCGTAATCCTTGTTACGACCACTACAACTTTCTTAATAGATATCGGCTTTATCTACTATTTATTTTCGACGCTCATTTTTATTCTTAATTAATTAAATTCTAATAATTAAGCATAAAACACATAATTCACACAATATTCACATAATTCCTTTTCATTTCTTCAAAATGAGTTACAAAGGTTAACCTAGACTATCACATCAATTTTAATGCCTAGCCTAGTAACACGGGCGTTACAATTCTCTCCCCCTTAGGATGATTCCGTCCCCGGAATCACACATCAACAAACAACTGCGGGTAGCGACTCATCATGTCACTCTCCGTTTCCCAGGTGAGATTTCGCCCATTCGTATGTTTCCAACGCACAAGCACTAAATCGACCATCTTGCGTCGCAACTTCTTAGTCTTACGGTCAACGATTGCCTCAGGTTCTTCAATTAACCGCTTGTTTTCATACAACCTTAATTCAGAAATGGGAATTATGTCGGGCACATCTCCCGTGAACTTTCTCAAATAACACACATGAAAGGTATTATGAATACCCTCCAGTTCTTTCGGTAATTCTAGCTTATAAGCTTGATTCCCGATCCTCTGAAGAACTTTAAATGGTCCAATAAACCTTGGACGCAATTTTCCCCTTTTACCAAATCTTATAAGTCCCTTCCACGGCGAGACTTTAAGTAAAACCGAATCTCCAACTTCGAAGGATATCAGTTGTCTTTTCTTGTCAGCATAACTCTTTTGTCGATCTTGAGCTACTAACATCCTTTCCCTAATCACTTTCAACTTTTCAGCAGTCTGATAAACTATTTCAGGTCTCATAAACTGCTTTTCCCCAGCTTCCAGCCAACATGACGACGTTCGACACTTTTCCCCATACAAAGCGTGATAAGGTGTCATCTTGATGCTTGAGTGGAAACTATTATTATAGGAAAATTCTACTAGAGGTAAATGTTCATCCTAGTTACCTTGGAATTCCAGGGTACATGCTCTCAGCATATCCTCCAATGTTTGAATTGTTCGTTCGCTCTGACCATCAGCAAAGACCATGGGAGAGCCCATGACACTTAGGTGTAAGACCATGTGGGGAGCCCATGGCATCCTGGAGTAAGACCCTGGGGACGAGCCCACGACATCCTTATCTGTTGTATGCATGGTTTATATTCTATGTGTGCAGATCCAATGAGCTATCAGGATATGTGTATGTGTAGTGTGTGGTATGCTCTGGGGAACTCATTAATGTAACACCCATAAAATTCAAACCAAATTTAAACTTTTAAAACATTCAAAATACCAATAGTTATTACAAAAAGTTTTTCAAAAATAGTTTAATATAAGAGTTCCCAGAAATCATAATTATAAACCGAGGAAGTGTATGGTCATGCCTTCGCCTGCCCGCGGTCAGCCGCTGAACCTGAAACAATAAACAGAAATTATAAGCCCGAAAGCTTAGTGAGTTACCCCCAAAATACCAACCTCATATAACCATAACATATCATATCAACAATATAGAACAACCATGCATATCGAGTCTACAGTGTGACTGGTCCGCCCGCACCGGGCCTTCAGTCCACCTGGTCCACTCTCTGAGTCTACAGTATGACTGGTCCGCCCGCACCGGGCCTTCAGTCTATCTGGCCCACTCTCTGAGCCTCTACACGTCTGGACCTCCCTCTCGGGGCCTTCAGCCTATCCGGACCGCTCGCTGGGCCTTCGGCCTGACTATGTGCCCTCCCGGGTCTGCAGTCTATCCGGTCCACCATGGGTATATTGGCCTACAGCACAAAGCAAGACCCACCTCAACCCAACCCCCCAATCAAAACAACCATGTGCACATATAACAGATAATCACATAACAGTCTATAGACAAACAAACCGATCTAACAGATCATATAGCATAGCAACATCCTATAACCAGGATACCGACCTACCAGGTCACTAACATATCATCATCCTATATACCAGGATACCGACCTAAACCAGGTCACTAAACATAATACCGTCCTAACTACCAGGACACAGATCTAACAGATCAATAACATATCATGCAAGTACCCGGATACGAATCCGATAAAGGGCCGGCCTTGGTGCCGTAGACCCTGTTGATATAGTGAGGATAACTCACCTCGAAGTAGCTCGTAAGGTAGTGTCAAACTCCTCCAAATGTAGCTCCAACTCCAACACCTATATTCACCAATATCCTTGCTATAAATATCCAATTTATCAAGATACCCTCATAAGTCAACTTGTCAACCCTTGGTCCAAGTCAAAGTCAACTATCAAGGTCAACAGTCCATGTTGACCTCAACTCGTCGAGTACCCTCAGCTACTCGCCGAGTTCCTTGCATAACTTGCCGACTCGCCGAGTCACCATGTCACTCGCCGAACCCAAGGCAATCTTCATCGGACTCGCCGAGTTGTTCATCCAACCCGTCGAGTTCATGGCCATCTTCATATGACTCGCCGAGTCTACCATGCGACTCGTCGAGTCCCTTCAGACCTTCTTCCATACAGATGCTTTTTAAGCCATGCAGAGGCTCCATATTGTAGATCCAAGCTCCTAGGACATGTATATCACGTAAAGTTGCAAACTTTATGTGCATGCAAGGCGCTAATCACATAAATCAAGCTAAAGAAGAGGTTCTAGGCAAAAGAGCTTCACCAACAAGCTAAAGACTGAGACTTTATGATGATAAGAGCCAAGATGATCCTAGATCTGAAGTTGCAACTTCAGATCTTGGCTCATCACTCGAAATGCAACACCAAGTGCCCCATAATGGTCCCAAAACTCAAATATAAAAGGGATATAGCTAAAAGAAGCTCAAGGTGATGACTTGATACCTTCAAATGATGATAAACTGAGGTAGACTTCATATCCCCAATTGTCCTCGCTCAAAGCTTCTTGATCTTCAAGCCTTTCCTCATCAAGATCCACATTTCAATGTTAAACACTCAAGTATGGAGAGAGAATGGAGATCTAGGGTTTCTGGACTCTCAAGAAGCTGCAAAGGGACTAAGGGAGGCTAATGATCCCTTAAATAGGGTGCCCAACCCCGGAAATTAGGGTTTCACCCTCCATCTCCAACTCGTCGAGTCACTCTTCCGACTCGGCGAGTTGGTCACTTAAACATGTGGCCCAAACCCGCTGCTACTCGGCGAGTCAGGCTACCAACTCGTCAAGTAGACCTTGAAATCATGATAATTTAACCATAAATTGACACTCGGGAAACCGGGGTGTTACAATTAAGCATTTCGCGTACAGGTTGTTGATTTGTTTCAGGTACATCTGAGCCCAAGGGCAAGAGCAAGGCGTGATGGCGCAGCGTGCACTCTATCTCTTTTTCATTGATACATTTTGGGGACACTCTGATGTTTTTGAATAATATTGTATCGAACGTGGTTTTGAAAACAATTGTGCTTGGATTTCATGGTTATGCAAATGTGGTTGACTAATTAAAAATGAAAATTTTCTTTGAAAAAAATCGGGTCGTTACAGATCTATACGGGGTTGACACCCCCACACTTGAGCTGTTCGCTACAGCTAGAGAGGCTAGTCTAGGGTGACAATTATCTTTAGAAACTGACGCCTGAAGAACGTCAAGACAGGCGATTTAGTCATATTAGTATGGTTGTAACGAATCACATAGAGAATAACAATATTATTTTCAAATTTACGCAAAAGATATACTCTACTCATATTATAAAGTACAAAACTATGTGTCGTCTATTTTGCAACTAATTTCACCACTCGGGTCTTAGGGTTTTAGGACCACAACTTTTCGTATAACAGAAAATATAGGATTTTCTGGGAACACTCTCTATATAATTTCAAACAAGATAAACAAAGAATACCCATGCAATTATACATGATTTGAAACAAGACTCACAAACTATTTTTAAAGAAAATATTGGATTTTCTGAAAGTTTACAAATTATTACAAAGTTTTCTTACAAATATGTTTACGAACTCACCAACATTCTATGTTGACGCTTTTCAAAACGACTTGTATTCTTAGGGATTCAGTAAGCAGATTTTGCAGCTATGGATTTTTGGATAATTATTGTATTTTTGAAATATCATACATTGTGTTATTTTGGATGTAATTTTATGAACAACTCAGAGTTGTAAACAATGCATGTTGGTATTTTTAATGTATGATGTTTGGATGGCTATGTTTCAATTATGATCAATTGTTATGATATTACAAGATGAAGTCACCCGTCCGGGGACGTTTCTGCCGTCCTGGTTCGGGGGATGACAACTTTTAACATGTAAAATATAATTATAACTACTATATTTGTTAATAAAACTTTATTTAGTATCTTGTGATAAATCTAAAACATTCATTAGAAAGGAAATCATACATCACACTATATAGTTCCGAAGTGATTATTCTCTCTATAGTTAGTGAAAATATCATTAGGAATCTTTTATATATAAATAAGTTTCACATATGTCAAATAAACTATATTAGTTTCCTTCAAAAATCCATTTCTTGAAATTAAAATATGTATTTCATTTATATAATAAAAATAATAATGTCTTAGATCAGTTTGATTAAAAAAAAAAGTTTAAGTATAAAATACTTGCATATAGAACTTGTAATGTAGAAAAAATTGATATTTATGTTATAATTGTATTCAAAGATCTAGCTCTCTAAAAGAAAATTTTAATCATTACAGAATATGAAGGTGATCGTTATGAAGAACGATCAAATAAATACAGGTCTTCTTGCATCTCTTAGGCAAAAAACTATCCATTCCATACACTATGGGCCCTTTTGATCACACGGGGTGACTATTTTCAGCGTTGCATTCTTCCATTTTATGAATTGGCTCAAACAAAATATTAATGTATTATTCAAATATCTGCTTAACTTGTCGGAACACTAGATATACATCTAAGTTATCCAAGACTTCCAGGAAGTCAGGAATAATGGTTCCTGGTATGATATCAGAAACATCTACATCATCCCAATGATTCCTCCACTAGGTATCATGTTTAGGTCTTCTGCTCAAAGTAGGTGGTTTAGGAATATGTCCTTTTAAGAATGTTAGTATTTCAACAAGTAAAATATGACACATGGTTACAATATTAGATTTTGTCTTATCTACAAAATTTTAACAATATTCATTTAGTATTTTCAATGTTTAATCTTCAATATTAATAGCCTCAAGTTTCGAAAAAACATAAATTATTCAAGTTTAGGATTCAAGTTGCAAAACAAATAAAATGGTTAGGTGAACTTTACCACATTCATCTGAATCCAACCAAGTAGATATCAATTATCAATTATATAATAATAAATAACTAGATGAGGAGCCCCGCTTTGCGTGGATGGACTTAGACAGCTCCGATCATTTTAGGTAGGGGTAGGAAATAGATTCTTACAACTACTATGGCAACAATGGCAATGGCAAATACAGGGGATTCTCTCACCAAGAAGCCAATTCTATTTATTTAATCAATTAGAACAGTGTATATGGAGATTGGAGATATGATATACAAAAAAAAAAAGATTAATTGCAAAATGAATGAAAATGTTGCAAAGCAATTAAGAAAATAGAATAGACTTTTTTTTTTAAAAATGTACAGAAACATTAAACATACCTCCCAATCGAGATAGTTAGCAGCATTTCCATAATTAGTAAGAATGGAAACTGTACATTACAAGAAGGGTAATTCTTTAGACTGTATTGGTGGAAATCGCCGATCCCTCAGAGCACTGAAATGATGTTTAAAAAGATATAACTGAGGGTAAATTTGTAAAATGAGTACAAGATTGTTGAGAAGTTACCTGGTTAGTGAATAATCCTTGAAGCCATTTATTATGCAGCGAGCTTCCAGAGTTCCTATGCATCCACGTAGACGAGGTTCCCCACCATTCACAGCTTTCTTCCAAGTCACAAACAATGGGCTGAAATCACAATATACCTCAAACTCAAACACAACTTTCAAGGTTTTTAGATGCTATATATACTAACTACTAAACATGTACAAATTCATGTCTAAAGTTCGATGGAAGTATTTAACTGTTAGTCGAATCTCAAAAGTACCCTTGAATGTGAGGATACAGAGCAATCTTTTCGCTGAAGATCAATAGTTTGTAATTACTTTATAACAACCAGAAAACAAAGTCATTTGAGCTTTAAAATTTTCCAAAAGGGAACCACAATCACTGTATTGATTAGATGGTATGTCCCATAATCAAATTATTTCATTTTTCATAGACAATGTGAATGTCAATTCTTAGATGGTATATGACATGCAACTAATAATACACGCATGCTAGTCATAATATCTACCTATAATGAATTTTTGAAAACCGTTGTTATTAATTCGTTGTACAATGTTTCAGGAGCAACTTCCAAGACGACCTGCATTACAATTTACAAACACAAACGCTTCAAAACTAATAAAAAAGAATATAAATTTATGTCAGCAAAAAATTGCAAAAGGAAAAAAATGAAGTTGATCAAATCTCCATCAGATGACTGAAAGCAGTTTCTTTCATTAAACTCAAAAGCCTTTTGACAACATTCTTATCTACGAAATTCCCTTTGCATCCAAGAATGATTGGAATGGCATACAATAACTCCTCCTCATATCCAGCCAATAACTTGAAAGCAGTTTGCAAAACCAAGCTGCCATATTCATCAACTTGCAAGATTTCAATATCTTTTCTAGCTGCTTTAAGTATCTCTGATACAGCATATCAGGAAACCCCATCTGCAATCCGTCGGTCCCACTCTCATCTACCCTAGAAGCCTTGAAATTCAACTGTTGTGCAAGCACTTGAGATGATTTCTTGGATTATTAAAACCTGTGATTCATATAAACCAAACTATATGATTAAGTTCTTAAAACATGTGATAAAAATTAAAAATAAAACATTACAAATACACTTTTATTGAAATATCACTCAAAGATTCATATAAACATTCGTAGGATTATTAATATGGAAAATATAGTAGGATGCTTCTCTTGAGCATTTCATCGAACACGTGGTATGGTATCTTTTCCTTTTTGGAGGAGTTATTCAATCGATCTAGGCTTTGAACAAACAGAGCAATATTCGAAAAAGAAAGAAATTAATCAAGCACAGTACTCAGTTGACGAAAAAACGAACCTTGAGGAACAAAACAAACAAAATACGGAAGGTCCAGTTTTGAAGAACGCTTCCCCGAACTTCTTCTCCACCTGTGTATCAACATCATCGCTTTTGCGTTACAGGTTTCAATGGAAATTGGAGTAATCAAATAAAAAAAATGGTGAAACATGATTTGATACCCAAACAGAAATCTCTACTTTCACTTAAAGCCTTAATTGCCAAATTTATTTCAAATTAGCGAGCATATAAATTCATAACAAAGAAAGATCAATTTCAGTTGGATAGAATTAAATTAACTAACCTCAACTTCGTTCATAATCGGGATGAAAGAACAATTAGAACACATCTGGGCGGAAGAGGCGGTGGTAGTGTAGAAGAAGGTAGTGAGGCGGTGTAAAGACATGAATCAACGGAGGAAGATGGTGGCTTCAACGGGTTTCAGATAACCTCAAATCCATGTGTGGATCATCATCGTTAACAGATTATTATACCAACGTCATTCGATAGAACCGCCATCGTCGTCCAACCGGCGCCCAAAACCTCAAAACTGCGAAGCCGTCACCGATTGCTGAAGATGCCCGATGAATGTTAGGGGTGCTTGTTAGCCGCAACGTCAGGTGATGCTAGAAAAGAGAATGAAGCGAAAGATTAACAGAGGTCAGACAGCAGACGAAGACGTTACAGAATAGCCATTAGAAGAGAGATGAAAGGGGTGTTTCAAATGCGTATCTATGTTAAGGCGGTGGAATATCTGTTGCGTTAAAATCAGAACAATCGAGAAGGGGAAGATATTAAATGAGAGATTTGGTACATCGCCTGAAGGCAAAGAGATGAAAGGGGTGTTTCAAATGCGTACCTATGTTAAGGCGGTGGAATATCTGTTGCGTTAAAATCAGAACAATCGAGAAGGGGAAGATATTGAATGAGAGATTTGGTATATCGCCTGAAGGCAGTGACGACGGGATGACGATGGTTGCAGCTGGCGGAGATCGGTGATGCAAGCAGACGGTGGTGATTGCGGTTCTCAATCGGTTCTAAATAGAAGCCCTCACAGAGGGTAGTGGTGGATAAGATGGATCAGGAAGTGGAAAGAGGGATTTGAGGCGGTGGTAAAATTACATCGGAAGAGGGAAGGAAAGAGTGACACGTATCATACAGAATTGAGAAAATAACATAATATGCCCCATAAAAAAATCGGCAGCAACAAACCCAGAAGAGAACACATACCCATAACCAAAGGACCAGTTTTGCCAAAAAATCAGGATGTTATGTGGTAAAAGCAGGATGTTCACTATTCGTAAGGATATATAAGAATTTCTATTTTATGGGATCGCTAATAACAAAGGTTAATAGATATGTTTGATCTCATTTATGTGTCAGGTCTTATTGCATGGGTGACCTTTATCATAAAAAATTTCCGATTAAATCATCCAGTTTGAACAACATGTAGAATCGGTACATAACTAGCGTTTATGTATCCTTTATCCCACTAGAAAGTACACAACTACCTCGACCATCAAAGATGAATCAAAGTAGTTAAGTGACCTTTATCCCAGAATGACCATACGAGTGACGCACGAGTGTTTCCAAAATGGACGGCATACACTTGCGTTTAATAAGGGGTCTTTTATGTTTTTATAATTCGAGTTTAAAAAACATATTTTACCATGGTTATTGTCTACATCTTATAAACCATCGTATAGTTTTATGTAAAATCTCATTTTAACACATTGGTTTAAAATCACATTTTAGCAATGTTCTTCTATAAAATCCAAAATTTTTATTATCGATGTGATCAAATTTAAAGTTTAATAACTAATCGTTTGAGCGCTAAAGAATATTTATAAATTTTTTAATAAAACTTACTTTTAAAAAATAAGGTTTGGAATTTGATAAATTTATAAAAACACAATTTTAAAATTATATAATTTTAATCGAAATTTGTTGTTAGCTACCATTACTAGTTTTAAACAATAAAACTTGTTTTATTTTAAAAATATTTAAACTCTTTGTTTTATTTTGCATTTGAAATCCAAATTTAACAAAAAAAAACATAATATCAACATAAAATTTAACAACATACGCATCTACCCTAATAAATAAGAATGATTTTGCCACATGTCTTATTCTTCTTCATTTAGACACTTGTCATTTTCTAGATTTTTTGAATTATCTAATATCCACTTGTCATTTTTATAGTTTTTTTCTTTTTTATTCAATTTCCACCTATCAAATATCACCTCATATTAATTAATTTTATTAATAGATTAATTAATGCACATAATAACTTTCTATTTGTGAATTTCTCTTTCAATATTAATATATTAATTAATGTAGATAGTACATTCTATTTGTAAATTCATATTAATAAATTTTATTAGTATAGATTAATTAAGATCAAATTACATGAATAGTCAATGTGGTTTACCAAAGGTTATAGATCAGTCGTTACTTATTTTTTTTATGAACATGGTACTTATGGTTACGAAAACTTATATGAATGGTATTTTTTTGCTCACACAGTTACTTTTGGCCTTTCTAAAAAACATGTGTAATACACGGGTCTCACACCTAGTGTTATAACATATGAGTATAAACCAACCATCTAGTGACATTTTGTGAGTCATAACGAAAATATCAACTCCTTCCTAAGGGACATAAAAGGACAAAAAAATCTTCGACATGTTGCATTTTGTCCTCCCACGGTAGGAATTTCCCAACCAAAAAAACCCTAGGTACCAAAAGTGTGAACCCCACTAAAAATAGTGGCCAAAATCTAAATGAGCAAAACATTATTATTCATTTTCCATTCCAAAATTTATATGTATATATCAATAAATAAAGATATATCTATCCAGCCATATATGGTTCTCTCATTCAATTAGCCAGATGTCATTTTGTCAAAAAATTTAAGACATTTATTTTTCACTTGTCATTTACTTTATTTTTCATTTTGCAATATATCATTAATTTAGTTTCATAAATTAAATGTACCATAATGACTATATTAATTTGAAATTTGAAATTTGAAATTTGAAATTTGAAATTCATTTTCAATTTCAAATAAACTTACAGTTTAAACCTTTTTGTATTTAACATTTTGTTATAACTAACTCGTTTAGCACACGTATCCGGCAACCAAAGACATTATTTTAATTTATATAGTTTTTCACATGTTTATTTATTTATTTATTTTACTTTTTTCATTATATATATATATATATATATATATATATATATATATATATATATATATATTCACATAGATCTTAGGAACAATATCTTACCCGGAAACTGTTCCTTGGGTTAGTTTAATCTCATCGATCCACCACTTGAAATAATCTGGCTTCCATCACCTACTAGGGATGAGATTTAGAACCGGAACCGGAACCGTTAGAATCGGAATATATAGAACCGATTCCGGGTTTAAAAATTGGCTTTATCCGGGGTCCGGGTAATCCGGGTTTGGGTCCATCGGGTCCGGTTAATCTGGATTTGGGTCCATCGGCTCGGGTAAACCGGGTCTAAAAACCGGAACCGATGTTTAGAACCGGAACCACTTTTAGGGTCGGAACCGGTTTTTGTGAAACGTTTAAAAGATGCATATCTCATTCGTTTCAACTCCAATTAACATGCGGTTTTTTCCAACATGTAGTTTAGAGTTTGTACATGATTTTAAACTATAAATTTGTCGATTTTAGTTTTATATTCATTGACTTACAGTCCCCCAAAGTCGAGATATCAAAGTTGGAAGTTTTTAGTTTTTCAGTTTTTTTGTATTCGGTGAATGTTTTAAAACATGCATATCTAATTCGTTTGAAGTCGGATTGACATGTGGTTTTTTCCAACTTGTAGTTTACAGTTTGTACATGAGTTTAGACTATAATTTTGTCATTTTTGGTTTAATATTCAATGATTTACATTCCTCCGAAGTCAGGATATCAAAACTGAAAATTTTCAACCTTTCAGCTATTTGTTTTTGTACTTTGTATTCTGTGAAAATTTTAACACATGCATATCTCATTCGTTTAAAGTCGGATTGACATGTGGTTATTTCCAGAGTGTATTTTAGACTATAATTTTGTTAATTTTGGTTTCATATTCAATGAGTTACAGTTCCACAAAGTCGGGATATCAATATGAAAATTTTCAAAGTTCAACCCACTAAGTAGTAAGTAATTAACAAAAAATTCCGGTTTTTCCGGTTCTAAACCCATTTTATCCGGTTACAACCTATCCACGTTGATATTTCCGGGTTTTCCGATTCTAGACTCAATTTACCTGGAACCGAACCGGAACCGGTTCCTAAATACCGAACTGGTGTCCGGTTCTACAAAATCTCGTTAACCGGTTCTGGGTTTTCTTGGTCCGGGTCCATCCAGTCCGGGTTTGGACCCACTTTCATCCCTATCACCTACTTGATGCTTCTCAATTCTTTAGATAAGCACTCCACCTCCAATTTCCTTGTCACCGGTCTTTGCTTTTGTCACCGGGCGTCCAATGTCATCTGTTTATAGTCGGCCTAGATTTCTCATCACCGTCATCATCCTCCAATTTGATCGTTACTTGACACCTCCTTCCTCGTTTATAATTCCTTATTTCTATCAATGAAAATCATTTTTTTCAAGGACATCACCATTCCCCTCTTTTCTCTCCCAAACTACATATGAAGTAGGGAACCAGCCAACTCTATAATTGGTCTTTCTACCCGCGACATCAGAGGAACCAAATAATAAAGTGAATGGAAAAGGTAAAATTTTCGTTCTTTCACCATTGTACATGTTGTTACACTATTGTAAAATTTTTGTTTATTCGACTTTGCAGTGATTGTCTTTTACATATTTTCGTTCTTTCAACTTTCTACATAGCCTAATCTTTTTAAGTTTAACAGATGAGGATGACGGTGGTTTCTAGGTTGAAAAAGGTAAAATTTCTTGCAAATTTGTTGTTCATTATCTGATTATTATTCTCTCTTTACCTTATTTTGAGTAATTTACAATCATACATCGAATTTATGATGTCAAGATAGCATTTTATTACTGCACACAAGGTGTTTTGACAAAATGCCACATTAAAGATTTTCATTGGTTATATGAGTTGTTAATATGAATTGTTTTATGTTCGATTTTTGAACTGGGTATTTCAAAAATTTGTTGTTTGCCATCGGTTATTGATTTAAATCTTGTCAAAAAGGTGCGGAGATAAGATAAGAAATTCTAAAAATAGTTAACAAGCTCAAGCGTGATTTTACTAAGGTATATCTGCTTAATTCATGTGTTTCAAGCTCTTTGTTTGATTTATATATTGGATTGGAGTGATACATCAGATTGCTATGGTTTCGATTTTATGTTGATGGGTTTTGATTTCTAGATTCTGAATAAATCCAAGAGTGGTTTTGATTTTAGGATGACGTTGTTTTAGAAGGCGTGGAAGACAAAGCTCAGAATATATATGGATTTTAGAGGGTCTCTAAACATCATCTTGATCGTGGATTTACAATGTCCTGTATTATTTAAGTTAGTGAATAGCTTTACTGAGCCTGCTTCATGTGACCAACAACCAGGAGGTACAATATCATCCAATATCATGCAGGTCAACCCTTTTGCATTTAATTTCTTCTATACATTTATTCATTTGTGTGTATCATGCATTGCTTTTGTAAATTCATGTTTTAAGTAAAGTTTAAGGTTGTAGTACACCAAAAATTAACTATGATTAAATTCTTCATTCGTTATATTGAACTTCAATGATTACTGAATTTGAGCAAGTTTGAAGTTACTTTTGACAAGTGCAACTCAAAATTGATTTGGTCTAAAGGAAGATCATGAAAGTTGGCACTTTCATAGCTCCAATTTCAGCAATTTTGAACAAATTGGTCAAGATATCAACTAATCAGCTGATAAAATCAATCTTCTCTTAGTGAGTGATTAATTTTTACTTTCGATTTTGATGCTTTTGGAGAATCTTATGTTAGTTTTGATGGTTTTTTGATGATTTGAATTGGCTTAATGAGATTTTCAATGTTTATTTTTGTTTTTGAAGCAAGTTTTGTTCTTTAAAATATAAAAAACCAATTTATTTTGGTTGGTTTTAGCTGTGATTTTTGTTGGGAGTAGAGATGATAGGTAGGAGTTGAGTTTAAGATATGATATCGAAGGTAGAAAGAACAATAAGACATGGGTAATTAAATTTGGACTTTAGAGCATGTTATGCTGCACCTTTTTAGAGGAT